GGGTCAACCATGTAATTAAATACAGAAATCACACAATGTCCAATGTAGTATTATTATCATGGTTTCAACATTTTTTAAGCAGTTGTTTGCAAAGCCTGATTCTAACGTAACTTGGCTGATGCTGTGCCAAATAATTATTCTGCTTTTAGTTGATAAAAAGCGACTGAAATTGAATGTTTTTGTGTGGACAACCAGTTACTTTTGGACTTAATGGACATAATTTCACTGTGGCCACTGGTCAAAAAACAATTCAGGTAGAAGCCTACTCATAAATTAATATACCCAACTGTACTCCAAGGCAATATAAGGATATTGACTTAAAAAGGTGGTCACCAGCCTTATTTTCGAGGAATTAATGGTTGTATTTTAGTGGAAAAGCACCATTTTGGCAGTGTTAGAATGCTTTTACCATAGGTTTTTTCTGCAGAGATGATAATAGAGAGATTAATGATATATTAATGATATGCAAATTATTTAATTAATATGCACAGATTGTATATAGAACTATTTTGTGAATAGTGACAAAAGTTGGCTTTGGTGATCAATGGCTTAATGATATGCAAATTACCTAATTATTATGCACAGATGGTATATAGAACTATTTTGTGAATAGTGACGAAAGTTGACTTTGGTGCTCACAGGGTTAATAATATGCAAATTACCTAATTATTATGCACAGATGGTATATAGAACTATTTTGTGAAAGGTGACAAAAGTTTACCTTTGGTATTCAAAGGGTTAAGCATGATAAATATATAATAATTAACCACATTTTCTTATTTCCAGTTCAACTTATCGTATGATAGAACAAGACAAGATAAAGATTGATGCCAAACTTCACACGATAGTCAGAGGTGAAGACGAAGCCGCTATGGTGGAATCGGTTGGTCTTGCACTTGTCAAGCTACCAGACATATTTCTACGACTCAAACCTGACATCCTGATAGTTCATGGTGATCGATTTGATGCTTTGTCTACAGCCACAGCAGCCGCACTGATGAACATACGAATCATTCATATAGAAGGTGGCGAAATCAGTGGAACGATTGATGATTGTATACGACATTCCATCACAAAATTAGCTCATTATCATGTGTGTTGCACCGAGCGTGCCAGGGGTCGGCTCCAAGCGATGTGCGAGGACAATGAAAGGATTCTCCTTGCCGGCTGTACATCGTATGATATGCTGCTGAAATCGAATACAAAAAATTGCCAACTTATTATTGATAGATGGGTTGAAAAAGGCGTGAAACCAAAAGAGTATATCATAGCATTGCAACATCCTGTGACTACAGATCTTCACAATTCTCTGAAAATGTTCGACCTAACCTTGGAAGCACTCCTGGAATTTGGCAAAAAGACCGTATTGTTGTTCCCGAACATCGACGCAGGTAAATAGTCGCATATAATTAATACTGTAGACATATTAATTATTCACTGGGTTTTAATTTCACAATTTTCCAAAATTAATTCCATGTAAGTAAGTTTTCAGTTTAAAACAGTGAATATGCCTAAAACATCAAAATTGTGAAATTATTACAAAGTGAATATGCTCTCAAAATATCAATATAGTGAAAATATATACCCAGTGAAAATTGATATTTTACTGCGTATTGGATTAAAAATACTATTTGAAATGGACAGACACACCTGTCAAATTTGTAAGCACTGCCTTACATGCAATAATATAAAAGCAAATATGGTATGCAAAATTACAATTAGAATCAAGTATCCATAAAAACAGACTGCTTTGATTGCATGTAAATTTTTAATAGGTTATGGAAAAAAATCATACATATTGTAGCAGTCACGATTTCACACCTTGGGTCTATAGGCAGAAAGCCAGTGACTTTGGCAAAATAAGTTCAACTGTTATAATATTTTGAAATCTATTATTGTCTTTCAGGTAGCAAAGATATGACGCGTATCTTACGTCGAAAAAAGATAGAAAACCATCCCAACTTCAGCACAGCCAAGCATATTCCTTTTGAAGAATTCATTGTCTTGGTAGCCAACTGTGCGTGTATAATCGGTAATAGTAGTGCTGGAGTAAGAGAGGCTGGAGCGTTTGGTACACCGGTTATAAACCTTGGATCTCGACAGACCGGTAGAGAAACAGGTGAAAATGTAATGCATTGTCGTGATGCCGACACTAAAGAAAAGATACTCCATGCTTTAGAACTACAGTATCAGAAACAATATCCACCGTAAGTGAAAAAAATCTATTCAATGATTTTTTTTCTCTCCCTCCTTCTTTCCCGCACTCTTTGCCTTTTGTCCCCTCCCTCTTTTCCTTTCTTCCTTTAACCCTCCCTTCTCTCCTTCTCTTCCCATCCTTGAATATTAAACGTTAGTCATAAGCATATTTTACTCATTCACTGTCCTTGATATTACAAATATTTAATAGTTGCCATTGCTTAATAAACCATCAAAGGTTATACACATAGCAGTGTTCTGTTACTAGAAGTCAATTAAATCCTAATTAAATGAACAATAATTGGGTGTTTTGTTCTGCTATTCAGTAAATTTGTACAAGAAAAAATTACATCACTCTTATACATTTGTGACTTCAGAAAATTTTTTGTTTGTTTTGTATTTGTTCCAGAGCAGGGGAGGGTGAGGTAGACTGAGACTATATCAACATCAACATCCAACAAGTGCTTGTATGATTGTTGTCTTCCCTACAATTCTTTCCCAGCAAAATAAAGTGTAATTCATATTGTATGACAGCAAACATTCTGACCCTAGAAGTTGAGCAGCTGCCTGATCACTGCTTAATCATATATAGTATACTGAAATTTTATAATTTATTCAGATCTTACATGTATTTTTACTCCACCTTCTCTTTAACAATTCCAGGTCATATATCTACGGAGACGGGCATGCTGTGTCTCGGATAATAAAATTTATGAAAGAACTGGATGTTATTGATAGTATACAGAAACAGTTTATCTTCCCACCAATGCCAGACGGTGTCAGCCAAGACATAGATCATATCTTAGAAATTCAAAGTGCCATAGCTGTTGATCTCGGTGGAACCAATCTCAGAGTGTCTATTGTTAGCAAAGCTGTAAGTCACCATCGTTTTTTAGCCTGCATTGTCTGGACAACACTTAAAGCGAGGTGGTTGTCGTGCAGCACAAGTTTTTTCTAAACATAAACAATTTATATTACAAGCATCATGTATGCTGCTGGTGTCCCATATCGAACAGGATGCAGTGTCTGTCATGTGTATTACTGTTGTATGACTATGTATTCCACAATTTATTTTCAATTGGTTCCAGAGTTCACACTGAATGGAATAGAATATAGTGCCTTAGATGTGCATATTCCGGTACTACATGGTTGCTCAAGCATACATGTAATAAATTTAACACAATTGATATTATTAATGGCAAGCAGATATATTATACATACAGTTTATAAGAAATGTTATGAGGGTCTTACAGATTAATAGTTTTTGGGATATACCATATGGGTCTGGCTGAGGATTTTCATATTGATACAGTTATGAACTAAGCCATAAGGAGTTTGCAGTGTAATTTCTTGGGAACTGGCTGATTAATACAGTTTATTACCTAAGCCAATTAATAATAACTTTAATAATAATATTTAATAATAACTTTTAATTATAAAAGTAGACTAATTTTTTTCTCTCTTTAACATTCAGGGAGAAATAATGCATATGATGTCTAAACCTACACCCAGTGACAACACAGCACGAATGGAATCTTTATTAACCTTGTTAGTGGATGCCTCTCAGATTGCTACTAAACTCAACTGTAGAGTATTAGGAGTGGGTAAGTACCAAGTCTTAAGATTCCCTGGCTATCCATTGAATTTTTAGCAGGTCATGTGTTGAAGTCAACTTTGCATGTGTGAATTTCACAGTTCTAAAACTGGTTGTTTTTGTGTGTCTTGTAATACGTAGTTATGATGACAGTGTCATTGTAAGCGATTGATTTACCCCACCCCCCCACTACAGTTCCCATTCTGTCCATTAGTACGAGTTAGTTCCTTTCTTACAGTTTCTGTAACAAGCGATTGAACTAGGCACATTGTTGGCCTTCCACAGTAGGTTTTTTTTCAGGGTTTTCCTTCCTTAGTTTGTCTAGGACTGTGAGAAACTAGTTGTCCAGGGTGTACCATTGGGAGATGAGGTTGATTTGGGAGCTCTACCGTTCACTGGCAGGGCTTTTATTTACTAACAGCTAGCCAGTCCCACCACCACTGGCTGTGACGCTGAGCACTTGAGCACCCCTGACACCCTAATAATTTTATATTTTTTTTATATGCAATCCATACACTGTTGACATTTCTGTTTTAGGTGTGAGTACAGGTGGTAGAGTGAATCCACACGAAGGATTGGTCATGCATTCCACTAAGTCATTAGAGGGTGAGTAATACTTTATTTTATGACGAGAATATTGTATACACTCAGCAAGTACAGTGAATGTATTCTATTCTGTTCTGTTCTGCCAGAATACATACTTAGCAGTATTCTCATTGAAACGTAGCTTTTATACATCTTTGCCAACTCATATCCTGAAAAGTTCGCGATCTTTTAGACATCGAGTCACGGCGACGTGGATACCTTTAAAGTTAATAGCAGTGAAAATAAGATGTTTACAGTATTTTTCTTGCTGTGTTCTATTTAAAGTGCAATATTTATTTATTTTTAGGTTGGAGTGCAATTGATTTGAGGACCCCGATTTCATCAGCTTTACACTTACCGGTATGGGTTGATAATGATGGAAACTGTGCGGCATTAGGAGAAAGAAAGTTTGGACATGGTAAAGGGAAGGAAGATTTTCTTGCCATTGCTACAGGAACAGGTAAATATTCTTTCAGCATGGATTCATTGTTTTTATGTGAATTTTTTTTATAGATTTCAGAGGGGTGAACTCAGTTTAAGTATATCCCTCTGCTCGAAAAATGGAACTGAAATATTTTCTATAAATAATTTGTAAAACATTTTGTATTCTATGTCTCAGAACGATTTTTTTTTCCTGAAGTTTATGTTTTAGAATCAAATTTAGTGATGGTTGCTGTTCTTGCTTTTATGTGTTATACAAATGTGTTACTGTTTTCATTGTGTGACTAGAAATTGTCCTAAATGAGTTTAACCTTTTTACCACCAGACTTTCTGGCCCAAATTTGTCTGCACTTTTTGCGAAGTGTGCGAAGCAGTTAGTGTGTCTGTCTGTGTGTCTGTGTGTGTCTGTTCCACTGTCATCTCAAGAACCATACATTGCTTTTTGATGAAACTTGGTGCATAGATGCTCTGGGCCAATGCTCAGATTTGATTAGGTTTTGGTAAAAATCCATGCTTATTAATTACCTAATTTTCATGATAATTAGCTGATTTTTAGCTGTTCTATGATTGTTCCACTGATATCTAAAGAACCACTCATTGGATTTTCATGAAACTTGGCACATAGATGCTCTGAACTAATTCGCAGATTTGATTAGTTTTGGGTAAAAATCTGCAATATTAATTACCTAATTTGCATAATGATTAATAAATTTTGGCTTTTCCACTGATATCTCAAGTACTAATCATCAGATTTCAATAAAACTTGGTACATAGATGTCATAGGACACTGCACAGACCTGATAGTTTTTAGTGTAATATCAGTACATATTAATTACCTAATTTGCATAATTAATTAATTTTCAGCTTTTGATATTTCAAGTAGTAATCATCACATTTCAATGAAACTTGGTGCATAGATCATATGACACTGCACAGACCTGATAGTTTTTAGGGTAATATCAGTACATATTAATTACCTAAATTGCATAATTAATTAATTTTCTGCTTTTGATATTTCAAGTAGTAATCATCACATTTCAATGAAACTTGCAACATAGTTACTTAAGGATTGTGCAAGGACCTGATTAGTTTTGGGGTAAATATTTGTGCATATTAATCACCCTATTAGCAAAATTAGTTAATTTTCAGCTTTTCGCCTGATCATAATATTTCAATTAGACTAGCTACATAGATTCTCTAGGACTATGCAGAGACCTGATTAGTTTTAGGGTAAATAATTGTGGATATTAATTACCTAATTCGCATAATCAGTTAATTTTTTCCATGAATGTTCCACTGATATATAAAGAACCAACTAATTAGATTTTAATGAAACTTTTATAGAGTATTCATCATCTATTTCAATGAATACATATTTATGCTTATTAATCACCTAATTAAAATAATTAATTAACACTGATATCTCAATTACTGATCATCACATTTGAATAAAATTTGGTACATAAATGCTCTAGAACAATAGACAGGCCCGATTAATTTTGGGTTAAAATTTGTTCATATTAATTCTCTAATTAGCATAATAATTCATAGTTTTTTGTTCTAGTCACATTTCAATGAAACTTGGTACATAGATATTAAATTACGCAGGCCTTATTATTTTTACACTCAAATATGTTCATATCAGTTACCTGATTTACATAATTAGTTTTCAGCTATTCCATCAATATCTCGAGTACAAGTAATTTTGAATTAATTTTTAATGTGTCTTCAATACTCTCAGCACATGGAAGTTCTTTCTAAGCTTTCTTTGATTTTCTATTTTCTTCAATATTTCTGGAAATGAACCCTAACTGGAGCTAACAGCAAAATTTGAGTAAATTTTCAGTTTCTATTAAAAAAATTGTCTATTTTTGTACAAATCTTCTGAAAGAGAGTTCAGACTATAAACAGGACCATTTTGTGAATTTGTGGTGAAAAGATTGATGTGCTACTTCTGTTCTTGCTATTGTATAGTGAAATGTACATGTTTTGACTTTACAGGAATAGGTGGTGGTTTGGTTTTGAACGGTCGCCTTGTTCATGGCAGTAATTTCTGTGCAGCTGAGCTCGGTCATATTGCTGTTAGTATTGATGGTCCTGCCTGTATGTGTGGAAGTTCTGGATGTGTAGAAGCTTACAGTTCGGGGTTAGCTCTCATGAGAGAAGCTAAGAAACTCCATCAAGGTAGGCATGTAATGATTCAAAATATCTGAATAGTTCATATAGTTTTATTACATGAATTCTTTCTGCAAGCTGTGATTATGTATTAGATAACCACAAACTATGTGGGGGTTTCTCAATTACCAAGGGCAGTACTAAACCCAGAAGTGATTATCTGACTGGAAACAGACACTATATGGTGGAGTTCTTGCTGTATCAATACCCATCATTGCTAAAATACTTTTCAGACAATAATTAAAGCAGATCAGAATTTACTCTCACATCTGATACATCCTTGCTTAGCTTGGTGGGTAGAGTGACCATGATTGGGATGCTCTCAAGAATCTGGGTTCGACTGCAGGTCTTGCCTCTTGAAGTATTTTAAAAATGAGGGAGAAGTTGCACTTGACCATTTATCATGAAAGTGCATATTTGCCAGATCATCTCTCTGACAGAAATGTATATTTTAGCCATGTTCTGTCAGAATCTATCTCGTTTTGACAGAACCACCACAATGTATCAGTGTGACAGAAGTAACAGTGTGACAGAAGTTTTTTTAAAAGAATCTAAATACAGTTCGTAGTGTCAAAGAATTATCAGGGGTTGAAATACCTTGGTGCACACTGCACTATGCACATAGATTATTAGCTACCGGGTAGTGCAAGTAAACTCATAATATAATGTGCACACTGCAGTATGCACATAGATTATTAGCTACCGGGTAGTGCAAGTAAACTCATAATATAATGTGCACCCTGTACTATGCACATAGATTATTAGCTAGTGCAAGTAAACTCATAATATAATGTGCACACTGCACTATGCACATAGATTATTAGCTAGTGCAAGTAAACTCAAAATATAATGTGCACA